TTCTCCCTGTCTTTTTAGTGACCTTTTGCTTTCTTCCTGTATTGTGCTCTTGATGTCATCCACAGCTCTCTTGGTCTTTGATCATTAGTGTTTAGTGCGTCAAATCTACTTTTGATAGGGTCCTAAATTCAGGTAAGATGTATTCAAGGTCCCATTTGGCCCTTGTCCACTGTCTCTTCCTACAGATGTAGCTAATTTGATTCTTGTGGATTCCATCTGGTGAGGTACATATGTAGAGTTAGTTACCTTTTACATTGTTTAAAAAGGATATTTGCAATGAATAAGTCATTGGTCTTTCAAAATTCTGTCATGCAATCTACAGCATTGTTTAGATCAACAAGGCTATATTTTCCAAATACTGATCCTTTCTGTTTGTTTCCAATCTTCATAATCCAATCAACAGTAATTACCAACACATCTCGATTGTATGTTTAATCGATTTTAGACTGAAAAAGTTGGTGTTGGTGTGCTGTGGAGTCGCTTCCAACTCAGCAACCCTGCATAGGATTTCTGAAGCTGTAAATCTTTACAGGAGCAGAAAGCCTCATCTTTCTCCCAAGAATGGTTGGCAGTTTCAAACTGCTGACCTTGAGGTTAGCAGCCCAACTTGTAACCCTTACGCTATCAGAGCTCCTTAAAAAAGTTGGTAGGATTCTTAAATTTCTTCATCATTGGCTGGTTGGTGCATAAATTTGAATAATATTGGCATTAATTGGTCCTACTTGTAGTCATGTGGATATTATCCTACATGACAATGTTGTCCTTAAAAACAAAATTTTTTTTCTTTGCTTTTACTTTTATTTGCATTTTATTTTAAGCTTAATTTACTCCCGAGCCATAAGTTTTTGTTTCTTCAGTTTCTTCTGAGATCTCTTTTTCTTCTGTGCAATGTCCTCTTCTGGTTTAGGAACAATTTGTTCCTTTTCATTGAGGATCATCTCAATATGGCAAGGGGAGCTGATGTAAGGGTTGATCCAACCATGAGCTCTGTGAGTTCGGTGGCACATCTTGGGAGCTTTGTTGACCTGGATATGCTCAATGACCAGATAATCCACATCTAAACCCTTCAGTTCAGCATTGCTCTCTGCATTTTTAAGCATGTGCAGCAAAAATTCAGTACTCTTTTTGGGCCACCGACTCTGTGTCCAACCCCACTGTTTGGCCTGGGCACACCTACCAACACCACCATTGTAATGTCCGAATGGTACACATTGCTTCTGCAAAGTGACATCTTTAAGATACTTGGTGGCTTTCTGGATTTGCATACCTTTGATGGCCTGGGCAGTCTCACGGGTGTTCTTAAAATGGATCTGGAGATTTGAACCTCTGGATTTGCATGATTTTGTGGGGTTTTCTGGGACAAGCGAGTAGCGAACCATTTTGTGAGATTATAGCAGGCTGCTTACGGGGAAAGCTAAAAATCTTGATATATTCTTTTTGATGATGAGTGTTATGCCATTCCTATTGAATTTTTGTTCCCATCATAGTAAAGCATAAGATTTCCTGATTGAAAATGGCCAATACCAGTCCATTGCAGCTAGTCATGTCACAAAATTATCAAATTTTATGTTTTTCATTTTGTTTTTGACAACTTATAATTTTCTTATGTTCCTATTTCATACATTCCATGTTCTGACTATTAATGGACACTTATAACTGTTTCTCCTCATTTCAAGTTGTGCCTCATCAGCAACTGAAGATTTGCAAGTTTTATTCCACTTGTATTATCACATGAACTCTATCTACTTTGAGGAGGCCACTGCTTCCCAGTTGTATTTTGAGTCCCTTCCAGTATGAGGGGGTTCGTCTTCCAGCACTATACCTGACACTATTCGGGTATTAGTCATAATATTTTCACCTTCTAGTACTATACCTGACAACGTTCTGCTGTTGTCCATAAGGTTTGCAGTGGCTAAATAGTCAGAAATAGTCCTCCTCTCTTTCCTTATAGGCTGTCTTTGTTTGGGAGCTCCACTGAAACCTGTCCACCATGGGTGACCCTGCTGATATTTAAAATACTGGTGGCATAGCTTCCAGCATTCCAGCATCATGCAAGGCATTCCAATATTACATTCTGGTAGACAAATTTTGGTAATTCAATCCCAGTTATGCATTCAAAGATGACTGAGTCCATTTTATTTCATGGCTTAGAATATAGACATGCTTACAGAGTAGTTTAAGTCACATGCTGATAAAAGATGATTAACTTGTTCTACCAAACACAGGCTCCCGGTAGACTAGGGAATCTCTTCTCTTGGCAGAGGGCATGGAGTTCTTTGACAGTAGGGAGTCCTACTTATAGCATAAGGACTGAACTGTTCATCACAGGCTTAACAGTTCAAACCCACCTTTGAAAACTTTATTTAGGGTAGCTATGATAAGGAAACATCTTGACAGAACCTAACATCATGATTTTTTTATGTCTTTTGTGGAAAAAAAAATATATATATATATATATATATGTATATTGAAATAATCACCTAACCATCCTTTGCCTTTATAAATACATGCCATATGATAAACCTTTTTTTCTTTTGCTTAAAGCTTTGGATCTGCATTGTGAAGGTGTGGTGTATAGATGTGTTCATGTATAAGTGAGAGAAAGCTAGCATTATAAGAACGCAAACTCAATTTCATCTCCTTTGTGTTGAACTGTGTTTAGAAGATGGTTTTAAGTTATATACAATTGTATCTTACATATTATTAGACATTGAAAGATTGTAATAGAATAAATTTCTATCTCACAATTTCCTTTTGCCACTCTGCTTTTTAAGCAACACTTTTTATCATGAATCAGTCATACACACACAAAGCCAACTGCAACACAACCAGAAGAGGACATCTGTTGTGAAACAGTGTCAGGCTATAGCCCTAATGGGTTATTTTGGCTTGAAACAGTTTTCATGATTAGGACACACGCTAAGTCTGTGAGTCCTCCTAAGGCCAGAAACTTTAGGAGGCTGGGGTGAACCGTGCCATCAGGAAAGAAGGAATCCATCCCTCCAATGTGAAATCAAATGTTCACCACGTAGGCCCCTGTTCTAAATCCCTAACAAGGATGCTTTATGTCAGACATTTCATAGAAGCTTCTCCTGGCAGGATTCCTGTGCTGGCCCAAGAAAAAGGAAATCTCCCTACTATTCAGCTCAGTTGTCCCGGCTGGAATGTGGAAGTTGTTTTTTGAGGAACTATGCCTTCCCATTGGGATGTAATGTGGCCTAAGTTGTGTTGGCAACAGAAATTGTGAGCTTGTAACTCAAGGACTGGGTTATTTTCAAATGGTTTTTGTGGCTCTGAATTCCTTTTTTCTGGAAGCCTGGCAGAAACTGGAGCCAATGGATGAAAGTCTTCCATGTCAATTCTCTCTGACAGGATCACAACAAGCTTTCTGGCAGCCAAGTTGGCACAATACCCATGAAGCTTTGCTGCCAGTTCTCACCAAGGGAGCATACAGTTCAGAGCACCTGAATGAATACTGAAGTAACTAGAGACTCCTAGAGATTCTGTTCCTCTATTCTTACCAGTGTACAATACAGGCATGGACATGGCCACCCCACTCCTTGTTAAGCTTGTCTTACCTAGGGAACAGTCTTCAATGGCAACTATTTGCTTTAGAGACTTCATTGCACTTGAATGAAAAACCAAACGCCTTTTCTATTATGTAACCCTAAGTTCAGATGGGAATGAAGGGATGTAGAAATGATATGGGATTTTCACTGAGATGTTGGATGTCTAGGGTCTGAGGCTGAAGAAAGGATACATTTTTGAGCACCTTTAACATGTCCAGGTGTGTATTAGGTGGTGGGATAAGTATAAAATGATAAACTCATGTTACAAGGAGCTTGCTGTTAAATTGTAGAAAGGGGATGGAGTGCAAAAAAAAAAAAAAAAACCATCTAAAGTAATTAAAGCTGTAAATGGCAAACATGGTATAATAAAGATGCATTTACAGTACAATAGGAGTGCAGAAGAAAGAATATTGAACTTGACGAAGGGCAATTCAAACATTTTTCACAAACACAAAAATGGTGTTACTTGAACTTGGTTTTGAATTAGCAGAATACCAAGTCATAGGAGACCTTTAGCAGAGACAGGAAAAGATGTGAGATGTTTTCAGAAAGCAAACAGGACACTCAGGGAACAGAATGCTTCCGGAAGAGGGATGTGTGTGTGTGTGTGTTTACGCAAGTGAAAAAGTTCTCATGCCTTGTCAAGTACATACGTGCATAAATACAATGAGAGGAGTTGAGGGTGTGCCCCATGGGAATATTGCAAAGATGTGGGAATGGTTGAACCTGAGTCAGTAAAGGAGATCAGGTTTTGATTGTCAAGAATGAGAAATCTGGACTTAAAGGAACTATAAAATGAAAACTCTTAGAGTAGAGAAGTATGAACAGTAAAGAGCTTCCTCCCTTTAGAATTCACAATGAGACAAGCTTCTCTATCAACACAAAAGCCGTCCTAAAAGTAAAAGTGGAGATGCCCCATCCTTGCCCATCAAAAAAGATACACAAGCTTACTTCAGGAGACTGCAGGCCCCCCAAGCCATTTCTAGACCAGACCTGAGCATGCAGTCCCAGACATGAGCAGGTATAGGTCAGCATTACACTGGATCTGACCTCAGTCTCACCTCTCAGAGTCTCAACTCCTCTGCAGGCTTTGAACTACATCTGCTTCCCATTAGAGCCTACAGCTCCCTAACGTTCTTGAATAATCTCACTTGGCTCTGTGCAGGGTCCTTAGAACACCACGTCTCTCAGAACAATTCACCATCGCGGTTTGGCCCGGAAAAGGCATGTCTGGCTGAGCTGGAGTTGACTTTCCTTTGAGTCTGCCCTACCCCCACACTAAGATTGGTGAGGTGTGACACATATGGCTGCAGTTTTAATGGGAAGGAAAGGAAGCCTGTTATCTTTCTCACTGCCCTCCAAGCAAGCTCCTTCTCAGCTGACTGATGCCTAGGCTCAGTTACATAGAATTTCCAGTAGGATCCCAACACCATTAAGTTACACCTTCTTCTCTTCTCAGTCCCTGGTGTACACCAGGTTTCTTGAAGTCCTCTCCAATTGTAGCTCATCAACATGATCTCCTTCAATATCATGGGAGATGACTCTAATCTAATTAATCATAGTCATATGATTGGAGTTTAGTTGCTAAATGGTGATCAAGAGTTTATATCACACAACCCCGTTCCCTAGCATTTAGATTTTCATCAATATTATCCTCATATCTCCTCAAATCAATGACAAAACAAAGGCACAATACTCTCTTTTATTTAAGAATGAAAAGATTGAATCTCCAAGAAGTTAAGGATCCTATTAGGTTGGGATTTGAATACAACGTCTGTGTTATTTCAGTCAAACCTCTTATATATATGCTACTGAAATCTTAATATCTTAAATTAGAATATGAGTGTGCAATTCCTAAACTATAGCAAGGACATTTTAAAAAGTAAGGACCATCAATATAGAGTTCCCAAACTGCAGCACTCTTGTCTTTTCCCTTATGACTTTGGGCTAAATTGTGGCAAAGTTTTGTCTGATGGCTTTTTTTGGTGGCCTACAAAGTGGGCTCTTGGTTTCCCTACAAAATTAATGTTTCCAAAAACCCTTTGCTGATGGATGGAACATCAGGAAAAGTCTCTTTGGCGTGTATGTAACTTCCCCAAATGCATTATTTCCCTTTCCTGTAGTGCTAAGTTTTCAAAACTTTAGCTGGACTGAAGTTAAATAAGGGCTACATTTTACAACCTTCTTTGCAGTTATATGTGGTCATAGGACCACTTTCTGGCCAGAGGGATTAGGCATAAATGAACTATCGATATTTTTTGAAAGATGTGGAGTATATTCTGTTTTTTCTGTCCTCCTTGCTGATGACTGGGATTCAGATGTAAAAGCTGATGCTTCAGAAATCATCCTAGACCATGAATAGATGCTGTATACAGTGGAGCCACAAAGTTGTAAAAGCAAATTCTTGACAAATGCTGCCAGTATATCAGCTCTGGTCTGTCCATATTTGGAACTTCACATGAAAGAGTAACAGACCTGAAAGCTATTGCTATTTTGAATTTTCTATCTCTTTTAGCCAAATTCCATGCAAATTAAATATATATGGCTTCAATGTAAATTTGATCTGATGTATCAGTCCATATTATCAACCACTCTACAGCTGCCTCCGACTCCCTTCCCCATCCTTTCTGTTTGGGCCCTGTACATTTACCTACTCATCCATATCCCTAAGCCACTTTCCTTGCAGGCTGAAGGACCTTTATTCAATTATATTACTGTTAAGCCATGCAAACCTTCTAAATTCTGCTCCTATATAACTTCTTTTCCAAACCCCTGCCTTTTCATGCCAGGAAGAAGGAACTCAGAGAATT